AACCAGTACTTTCCAGTATCATTCCTGAATCTGAATTTTTCCAACTTGAAACCATTGCTGCAAGTCCTGTCTTGGCTGGAAATTTTCAGCACACTATTTACATCCCCTTTATTCCTGTTTTCCATTTATACACCTCGATCATATCCCCCCTAATTCTACGCCTTTCAACAGAGTGCAGATTCAGGGCCTTCAGTCTATCCTCATAGGGAAGATTTCTGATACATGGGATCATCTTTGTCATCCTCCTTTGTATGTTTTCCAGAGCATTTATATCCATTCTGTAACACGGTGACCAGAACTGAGCAGCATAGTCTAAATGAGGCCTAACCAAGGATATATAGAGTTGAAGAACAACCTGAGGACTTCTATTATTTATACTTCTAGATATGAAGCCAAGAATTCTGTTAGCTTTATTGTGAACACTAATGCACTGTTGTCTTGGTTTTAGGTTACTGCTAACCAGAACTCCTAAATCTTTTTCACAATTGGTAGTATTAAGATCTACAGTATTTAGTTTATATGTGGCATAGTTATTTAACTGTCCAACATTTAGAACTTTGCATTTGTCAATATTAAACTGCATCTGCCACTTCTCTGACCATTGCGTCAGTCTATTCAAATCATCCTAGAGTGCTCTAATGTCCTCGTTAGAATGAATTGGACGGCCTATTTTGGTGTCATCAGCAAATTTGCTTATGTCACTATTTATTCCCTCATCTATGTCATTTATGTAAATTGTGAACAACAATGGGCCCAACACTGACCCCTGAGGAACACCACTTGTGACGTGCCCCCATTCTGATTTTTCACCATTTATGCAAACTCTCTGCTGTCTATTTGTCAGCCATGCCTCTACCCAGGAAAAAATTTCTCCTCCTATTCCGTGTGCCCTAATTTTCCTTGAAGCCTCTGGGTGGAACTCTACGAAAGCCTTACTGAATCCATATCCCACAATATCATATTCATTACCATGATCTACCTCCTCAAACACTTAGTGAAAAAAGTTAGTAAATTCGTAAGACAGGAACGCCCCTTGTAAAACCGTGCTGAAATCATTAATCAATCTGTGCCTGTCAAGATGGCTACAAATTTGCTTCGGCAATTTTGATTCCATAAATTTTCCCACATGGAGGTAAGGCTTATTGGTCTATAGTTCGAAGCCAAGTGACCTGTCACCTGCCTTGTAAATAGGTATTACATTTGCCATTTTCCACTTATCAGGCACTATGCCAGTTTGTAGTGATATGTTAAAAAGATTAGCCAAAGGTAGGCTAATTCCTCTTTACTTTCCCTTTTAAAACACCCTTGCAAACAGTTCATCAGGACCTGGGGATTGTTGGTTTTATTTTTCTCTATTTATCTGAGGACCATGTCACTAGTTACCGCAATCCGTACATAGTTTATTATCATCCTGTTCTACGTAATCTATTATTTCAGGAATATCGCTAGTATTTTCCTGGGTGAAAACTGAGAGGAAGTAGGCATTTAGAATTTCACACACATCCTTATCACTGTCAGTGATCTGACCCGAGTTACTCTTAGTGGGCCAATCTTGTCCCTAATATTACTTTTGTATACCTGAAAGAACCCTTTTGGGCTAGTCTTTGAATCCCTTGCAACCTTAGCCTCATAATCTCTTTTTGCTTTTCTTATTCCTTTCTTTATTTCTCTAATTGAATATATTGATTTCTTAACTGTCCATCCCCTCTTTTGATATGCCTATATATGCCTCTCTTTTGACCAGTGAGATGTTTTAATCTATTGTTCATCCATTTGGGATCATTTTTTGTTTTGATCTTAAATTTCCCTACTCGGAACAAAGTTGTCTGGGCAACTAGAACTATGCTCTGAAAAACGTCATATTGGCAACCAAGACCACCAACCTGACCCATAGTTAGGACATCCCAATTTAGCCCACCCAAGTAATTTTTCAGTCCCATGAAGTTGGCCAAGCGAAAATCTGGGACAGATTTGATTGCAGTTATCTGGGTAATTCCATGATATATTGAAACTAAGTGATTTATGATCACTTCCCCAAGCTCATCATTAACCTCAAGATTATTTAAATTTGTGAAAACTTTGTTGGCAAGAACCAAGTCAAGCAGATTGTTTCCTCTAGTTGGTTCTGTCCCAACCTGTTCTAAAAGCAATCCTGACCGTACAAGAAAGTCACTAGACTCAAGATTTCCTGTCATATTGGTTCCAATCAATTTTGTCTTTAAAGTTAAAATCTCCCATTATCACAACATTTTCATATCTAGATGCCTTATGAATTTCTTCCAAAACAGCTTATTGCACTCCCTATCAAGGTTTGGGGGCCCTATAAATCACACCCAAAATTAATTTGTCACGACCCTCGAGAAACTGAAGCCAAACAGATTCTGTGTTCGATGTTTCTAATCTTATATCATGTCTAAAACAACAATTTAAATTTTCTCCCGACATACATCGCCACACCACCACCCTTCCTGTTGACCCTATCAGTGTGGAATAGTTTATGGACCCTGTATTTGCATTCAGAAGGCATTCCTCTATCTTTCAGGTTGAACCAGGTCTCTGTTATACCAATAATATCTATATTACCTACACTTGCAAGTAATTTTAGCTCATCTATCTTATTTCTTAGACTCCTACTATTTGTATAGTAAACCTTAAGGGAGCTAGTCACTCGTTGCCCTCTACTATCTCTCTTTGTTTGTTGATTAATTGATTTGCCTTTACAAGCAACTTTATTTTGATATTGTCTTTTAAACATATCCCTGAGATCCTGGTAATAACTGCTTTTTTTTAACCCTAAGCTGCAGCCTGATTGTTTCCCACAAACACCCATACCTCTATAATTTATCATTTTTAAATTTCCTAGACAAGTCATTAATTACCCCTCAATTGATTGGCTAATCCCAACCACTCCATCCCCAGAGAGATGAACCCCATCCCTTGCATACATATCATGTTTGCCAAAGAAAAGGTCCCAGTTATCAATGAATGGATTGCAAGTTTCCTTGCAGTACCTGTCTAGCCAGCAATTTATACCAATTGCCCTAGACATCTATTCATTGCCCATTCCCTTTCTGGCAAGATGCTACATATGACTGGGATCCCTCCCTTAGACCTAACTACTTCTATGGCTGACCTGTATTTAAATCCAGCAGCTCCTCTCTCCCTGCCCTTCCCAATGTCATTACCCCCAGCACTAAGACAGATAATGGGCTTGTTCCCATTACCTGCCATATTATTATCCAACCTGCTGACTATGTCGCCAACACCAGCTCCAGGAAGACACGCTCTCTGTCTGACCTTTTTTGTCTGTTACAAAATGCATGGTCCATATATCTTACCTGAGAATCGCCTACTAATTTAAAATATTCTTAAACCTGATTAGCAGGGGAATCAGTGGTACCTTCAACCTCACTAACCACTGAAGTACACCGTCTTTGGGGAACAGAGAATTGATTCCTACTTTCAAAATCTTCCCCTATTAACTCCCCCTCATCTTCCTTCTTCCTGAACTGTGAACCACTTGCCACTTAAAGCGGCTGCCACTATCTCTGCTGGTGACCATTCCTACCTTACCAGCTAAATCCTTCTCACACTCGCTCCCAAACTCATCTATGAGAAGCTTCAGCTTCCTATTTTCCTCCTGAAGAAGTAGAATCTCCAACACATGAACCTGGGATTCTAAAGCACTACAACAAGCCATGGTATTGGTAACAGCCCACACTAACTCCCAAGAGCTTAGCGGTATGACCGCACTTGACCACTGACCTCAGCGTACCTGGATGAGTACTAACAAACTTACTCTCAACATTGACAAAACCTACTTCATTCAGTTTGGTAACAGAGCTACTGATGTCCTTCTTAACATAATGATAAATGGATCACCTATCAGAAAGCTTACAGAGAAAATTCTTAGGAATCCACCTTGATAATAGACTCAAATTTCAAACACGTGTACAACAAATTTCCAAGAAAATTTTCAAGACCGTAGGCATACTATCGAAGATATGGTACTATGTTCCACAGTCAGCCCTCCTGGCCCTATATCACTCACTTATTTACCCCTATCTCACCTATGGAATTTGTGCATGGGGCTCAACAACAATAAACCATCTCAGATCATTGATTACCCAACAAAAGGCTGCAGTCAGAACCATAACAAATTCCCACTACAGGCAGTACACTCCACCAATATTCAAAACTCTAAACCTACTCGCCATACAAAACATCCATACCTATTATTGTACCTACTACATAGATAGAACACTTAACTCTGATATAAACCCTCCCCTCAAATGTCTCCTTACCAACCTCAACAGAACACATGACCATAACACAAGGCACAGATCACTCTTTGATATTCCTCGTGTCCATCTCACACTATGCAAAAACTCAATGCACATAAGACCCAAAAATCTGGAATTCACTACCTGTGAATATAAAAGAAACACTACACTACACAGAGGGGAGAGGGAGTTGGGGATTCCCAACTCCCTCTCCCCTCCTGCCTTCTTCAATATGCCAACAAGAATCTTCAATAAAGGTATGGAATGTTCATTTATCATTAAAATTTGTGCTTTATATTTATTTCTCATTGTTTTCTGTATGTAAAACTGTAGTTAATCTTTAAAAAATGTATTTTTTGTTAATATTTTTGGGTGTCTGAAATGGACTAATTGGATTTACATTAATTCTTATGGGAAATATTATTTCGGTTTTCAGCCTTTTCGGATTTAGGTCAACCTTCTGGAATGGATTATGGCTGATAACCAAGGGTCCACTGTATTTTAATTCTTTGTTAATGTAAATTTGGTCATGTTAGTTTGGTTGTTATCATTTGGTCCATATTCAAAAAGTCAATTAGAAATATTTATCACTTTTTATTAAATATTTATGATTTTAGCATTTTTTACATAAGTTGAAAAACAACAGAAACAAAGTGTGTAATAAATGATTTGAGACTACATTTGCAGTTTCTGCATTGTAATTTTCCTTTTAATCAGATCCAGAAATTTTGAATGGCCTCAGCTGGTCGTCATCAGTTGACTGGGTATTCCAGGATAACTATGAAAGAGATCCAACTTTATCTTGGCAGTATTTTGGAGCACAAACAGGCTTTATGAGAGTGTATCCAGCTACCAGGCAAGTACAGTAAGACATGATAAGCTTTATTTAGGAAATTGTTTATTATTTTACGGGCATGTGTAGAGCTTTGATGGTTCTGAGAGCACATGGACATTTTAAAGTATACAACAATATTATATTATGTAAATTAAACCTAATAAAGTATAATATTTACTATAGGCTTTCAGGAATTTGGCAGAATATTACAGATTTTCATAGTCTTTACCAAGTGTATGCAGCAAGTCTTCAAAGTTTTATAAAAAAAAAAAAAAAAAAAGATTAAAGGGATCATTTGTGGGATGGTGAAGGAAGATTAGCTTAAGACAGTTGAGATCAAACAAGTGTAGAACTGCTGATGGCAAACCCTTTGGGGAAACCATTATAGATACTTAATTATCTTCCTGTAAGAAGAGACTGTACCTGTTAGTCCATATCACTTGACATTTGCAATAAATATGTAACACATAGACAACACTATTTTTTAATTTTTTCTTGTTTGAGCTTTTAGACAGTGCTTTAAACAAACGTTGCATGTTCCATTGAGCAGTTGGTAGCTAGAGAAGCATATAACATACTGACACACTTGGCCATCAGTACATACATAACAGGTTATAGTTTATCATGGAATGAGTGGAAACCTGTTCAGTTTATTATATGTGTGATTTTGTGAATATGTACAGTATAAGGTAAAAATCACAGCTGATCCTCTTACCAACAAGACAGTATTTCACTGTTGCTAACACAGTCCAATTGGCAACTTGTGTACCTTTCTGGTGCATTCTGTTGATCCCCATTTTCTGTTTGCGTGTCAGAACTTTGTATTGCATTTATCTTATATTTCATTTATTGGCACTGTGGTTATAATTCTTGAATTATTATTGATATATGACAATCTAACATAACTGAATGTATATCAAGAAATTTTCTTCAAACTGTGAGAAATCCACATAGAATTTGCAAGAATGTGTTGAAAAGTTCATATAAAGAAGAGAGTGGAATGATGTTGAGATTGATAATCTCGGCATATATTAAAAACATTATGGATTATTTTTTTTTGCATATTAATCATGAAAACATGAATAAGGAGAAAGTTGGATGGGAGGCTTGACCTGTGGTCCTAGATTTTTGCAGCATTTGTTAGCTTTTTATGTTAAGCTACTTACAGATATAGAAATATATTTTTTCTTATTTAACTTAATGGTTTAATAAATTTGTGCTATTCTGCAGTTGGTACGTCCCTCCTAATCTTATCGACCTCTATGATGCCCGACTACGTCCGTGGTACGTGCAAGGCTCTGTTTCCCCCAAGGATATGATCATACTGATGGACAGGTAAATACTATTACAAAATATTGAAGAGTAGTTTATTAGCATTTTATGTATTTGCATCTGTTACATTTTGAGGAGAATTCATGACCTTTAGAAAGTAACTACAGCCTCTCCTCACTTAACGATGGCGTTCCATTCCTAAGACCACGTCAGTAAACAAATTCGTCGCTAAATGAGGAGCATACTCTAATGGTAGTGGGTTTGTCAACCATCTTTGATATTGTTTTAATGTCACCTTTGCACCATTTATAACATTTCTGGTATATTTTTAAATGTTTATGCAGCAGTGTACTGTATATTGTAATACATAAACAGAATAGAGGAAATCAGCTCTAATATACATTACGTATTTAGGTATGCATACTGGTCAGAGAGCCCATCATAAGTTCAAGTCATCGGTAAACAAGTAGTACGTCGCTAAGTGAGGAGAGGCTGTATGTACGTACAGTGGACCCCCGACTTACGATGGCCTCAACCTACAATAAAATCGACTTACAATGCTCGTCAGCATAAAAATTTGACCCCGACCTACGTTGAAAAACTCGACTTACATCATTTGTCCCGAATGCGGCTGTCTGGTCCGTCTGGCCCATCTGGCCTGAGCGCCTCAGCTGAGCTAGTGTGACATTGTTTACAAGTCAGGGCAGATGGTTGCACGCATACATTCAATAAATTTTGTATTCCAGTGTTTTTTAGTGCTTGTAACTGCTAAATAAGCCACCATGGGCCCAAAGAAAGCTTCTAGTGCCAACCTTGTGGTAAAAAGGGTGAAAAATACTATCGAAATACTATCGTACCACGGTCAGCTGTACTACTCGAAGATGTGGAGAGACTGTTGTTGGTCTGGCTTATCGAGAGTACTGAGAAACAATTAACCCCAGAAGGTTAGACACCCAGGATAACCCAAGAAAGTCAGTGTGTCATCGAGGACTGTCTAACTTATTTCCATTGTGGTCCTAATCTTGTCCCCCAGGATGCCACTCACACCAGTCGACTAACACCCAGCTGAACCGGAAAAAATGCCTGGAACTACTGCTTATATTGGTGAATTCAAGACCAGCAAAGGTTGTTTTGAGAGATTTAAGAATCGTAGTGGCATACACAGTGTGATAAGGCCTGTTCTGGAAGAAAATGCCAAACAGGACCTACATTACTCAGGAGGAAAAAGGCACTTCCAGGACAGTGTCTCATCACTCATCACCACATCTTCAATAAAGGTAAGTGTAATTTATTCTTCATCTAGTACACTAGTACATGCACAATATACATATATTGTGCATGTATCCTACTTTTTGTGTGTAGAAAAATGTATATTTCATGTGGTAAAATTTTTTTTTTCATACTTTTGGGTGTCTTGAATGGATTAATTTGATTTCCATTATTTCTTATGAGGAAAATTAATTCAACTTACGATAATTTTGTCTTACGATGTGCTCTCTGGAACGGATTAATATCGTAAGTCGGGGGTCCACTGTATATATATTTTGTAATAAACCAAATGCTAAAGTTGGTGAGGAAGCTAATAATGGTAAAGTAAAGAATTGGGAGAAGGAAGGTGAAGGTGTAATGGTGAAGTAAAAAATGTGGTAAAAGAAAGGAAAATAGAAGAGATGAAATTTATAGTCAACATGAGCAGTTAACTACATGAAGCATAAAAATTCACAAGTGATACTTCTCATATCCGAACAATATGGGCTGAAACTAGTTCGGAAACACTGAGTTTCCAGATACATGAGGGGGGAAATAATGTGCATCCATACCATCATATTGCCATCCGTACCCCATCATATCACCATTGGCGATGGCGTTGTAGATTTAAAAAACGAGTCCAACATCGTCTGGCGGTGAGACTAGACATTCTGGGCTCAAATAACAGCCTCCATTTCATGGACCACAGGAGCATAACTTTTCAAATGGGCTGTGGACAGTGGATGCTCCAAATACTCCAAAAGTGTTTCAACACCTGCCCTTGCTGCTGAAGTTTTTGGTCTTGGAGGCATTGGGTCATCATTGCCATTGTCACTTTCAGAATGTTCCGGGTGCAACATTGATTCTGCAATCTGCAGATGCCTTGAAGTCTGATAGGCCAGTCTGCTTGCTGAATTTTTCTGCAGCAATTTTAAGTTCGGTGCCACAAACCATCATACCACTACCACGTTGTTGTAGGTACCACTTCATGTTTGGATATTGGCGAGGTTCAGATAATGGCAGGCCGGATATGTGAGGTATCACTGTACTGTGGCTGGAACAGTTCACCAAAAACCCGCACTTAGGAGAGGAACTTTATTATGATGTTTTGGTCCATTGTGGTGTGGCATTTAACAAATAATACGTATATAACAAAAAAAGGCACAATACCGTGACCGGAACGATGCACAAATAACCCGCACATAAAAGAGAGAAGCTTACGACGACGTTTCGGTCCGACTTGGACCATTGACAGTCACGTATATGGAGAGAGAATTTTGAAATGAGTAATGGATGTCAGAAAGAGGCTTAATTGAGGGGAAGGGGGCTATTAACAAGATCAGTATAATTTCATGAGTAAATGTAACTCAGTTTTATTTTAAGCCATACCATGTTCATTTATACAGTCAGAGTATATACACACACACAAATTAGGTATCCTTATTTGAGTGTTTGTAAGTGTATACCATAATATCCAACACATAACCAAAACATAACACATAACCAAAAAAGTATCCAAAACGGTTGGGATCCTTTCCAAGATACGATACTACGTGCCGCAAAATGCTCTTCTCACACTATACCACTCGCTTATTTATCCATACCTCACCTATGCTATTTGTGCTTGGGGATCAACTGCAGCAACACACCTAAAGCCAATAATAACCCAACAAAAAGCTGCAGTAAGAATAATCACTAAATCCCATCCCTGGCAACACACCCCCCCACTCTTCATAGATCTAAACTTACTCCCTGTTCAGTACATCCACACTTACTACTGTGCAATCTACATCTACAGGACCTTAAATTCCAATATTAACCTTGACCTAAAATGCTTTCTTGATAGTTGTGACAGAACCCACAGGCATAACAACAGACACAAACATCTGACATTCCCCGTGTCCGACTAAACCTTTACAAAAATTCAATGTATGTCAAAGGCCCTAAAATCTGGAACACCCTACCTGAAAACTCTAGAACTGCAGACACATTCATCACCTTCAAAACTACCATTAGAAAACATCTTATCTCCCTGATACACCCCGTCAACTAATTACATGAATACCACCTGGTGGTTCACACTTACACTCACTCACCCATTTGACCATAAACAGAAATATCAATCTCAATCTTAAAATAATGAATCCTAACTATTCATAAGTTGGCCTGTGATACTCCAATACTGAAACTATGTATTGTGCCAAAACAAAAGCATTCACATTGCTAAACTCACAAACTAGTATTTAGTCACTTAGCCATAATACCAACTTACCTCATAATTTGTAATATTTTAAATTTAAGAATTAATCTAAGTCTGCCCGAAATGCCTAGCCATGCTAGGTGTTCTAGTGGTACCCTCTGTAATTATTATTTTACTACATGTAAACTACACAATAACCAAATTCTGTAAACTCAGCATTGTAATCCTTATAGAGAATAAACTCTGAACTGAATTGAATATGCAAAGTTTAATGATAAAATGCTGGAAAGTTCTGGTCGAACTTATTGTCATAGCAAAGGATAAGTGCTTATTTTTCTTGCAGAATTTTCTACCATGTAAGCAGTTCTTTTCTGTCATAAATTTCTTTGAAAATGCTCATCATTTAAAATATATGCCTAAAAAATTAATGAACATGACATGACTGATTTGTCATTAAGTGTTGATGTGCACCTCAACAAATCTAGATTATTTCAGGTCATTTCCACTTGCTATGAATATTTCTTCAAGCTCAGTATCTTTTCATATAGTAATTTATTTTCAGGAGTGGAAGTGTTCATGGGCAGACATTCACAATAATGAAGTGGGCAGTAAAGACTTTAATTGATACTCTTGGAGAAAATGATTTTGTAAATGTTGCTGCTGTAAGTATTGTGATACCTCTTTTGCTCTCTTTTTTAAATAAAATAGTTTTTATTTCTTTATTATGCAGTACAAATAATGTAATTTACATGTAATAAAACATTGGTAGGCACAAAAGAAAGTCATTTTTTTTTTTTATAATAAATTTATTCCTAAGATTCCATAGAAGACTCGCCTGTATTCTCCTTGATCTAATGCTCTCATGTATGCATGCCTACTGGATGTTCAAGTCTCAACCATTTGATAGAAGTGCAGCAGAATGATGAGTGGATTCCTAGGAATGATCAGTTGTTTGGAATAATGAGATGTATGGAATGATCAGTTGTTTGGAATAATGAGATGTATGGAATGATCAGTTGTTTGGAATAATGAGATGTATGGAATGATCAGTTGTTTGGAATAATGAGATGTATGGAATGATCAGTTGTTTGGAATGATGATATATATGATAAAACACCAAGCTGCACCAGGAAACACTGCAGGAGAAATGGCAGCTTCACCTGCATATTTATCCAACATATTTTTAAAGAGTACCCAATTGTTATTGCTGATTTGTTACCCCCACTATTAAATTACACTTGCCTGACCTTTTGTACTGTATATACTGCTTATTCTAGCTACTTTGTATTATGACTGAAGAAGTCATTTGTGGTGAAAAGTTTTCTTAATAAATATCTTGATCATTGCATACGTGTATTACCTATAGTATGTAGAGGGAATAGTTCTCTGACATATTATTTATGTTAATTCACTACTACTCAAGAAAAAAATAAAAATATGAAACAGAGCAAATAGATTACTTACTTTTACTGTGATATTAATAAATTTTCAGTTATATATTCAGTTTTCTAGTCTTTTATAATTTTGTTTAATTTATTTATTTACCGTTTTGTAATTCATTACTAATATGTATCATAACCTGGACCTGGAGTTTACCTGGAGAGAGTTCCGGGGGTCAACACCCCCGCGGCCCGGTCTGTGACCAGGCCTCATGGTGGATCAGGGTCTGATCAACCAGGCTGTTACTGCTGGCTGCACGCAATCCAATGTACGAGCCACACCCCGGCTGGTCAGGTACCGACTTCAGGTGCTTGTCCAGTGCCTGCTTGAAGACAGCCAGGGGTCTATTGGTAATCCCCCTTATGTATGCTGGGAGGCAGTTGAACAGTCTTGGGCCCCTGACACTTATTGTGTTGTCTCTTAACGTGCTAGTGACACCCCTGCTTTTCATTGAGGGGATGTTTCATCGTCTGTCGAGTCTTTTGCTTTCGTAGAGAGTGATTTTCGTGTGCAAGTTTGGTACTAGTCCCTCTAGGATTTTCCAGGTTTATATAATCATGTATCTCTCTTGCCTTGTAATCGTATTCTAAAATCTATGTGCATTTTGTTTTCTGTTTTCACAGCCTGTATTTTAGCTCAGTAAATGTAGCATTTGTAAATTTGTTTTCCTCCGCAGTTCAACAATACTACTCAGTGGGTCAACAACTGCACATACTGCCAGGTAATGTCTTTTCTACATGGTTTTGTTGTACAGTATACATATTTTCTTTTATTAGTTCTGATGTGTATATATATTGTACTTTGTAATGAGTGGTGAAGCAAGCAAGATTTTATGGAAAAATCAATTCTGATTTTTTTGTTATGAAAGTGATAAATCAGTAACAGATTTTTCAGTATGCATTAAAATAAATATAGCAGCTTGACCTAACATTGCTATAATTTCAACAATTTAGCTTCTACCAAATCTATTTAAAGTCAAACTAAATTTAGTTGTTATAATTTAATATCAGTGAGTCTCGTGGAGTTAAAGCAAAAATAAATGAGCAGTTGGTTTGCTTGCAAAAACAATTGTTACAATAAGTTAAGTCTCTAAGTATTGATTAAAAGGTATGGCATATATTTATATACTACAATAAATTCTTGATTGAACAGAGTAATGGGAGGAGAGGGGGGCGGAGTGAGTGGCTGGTATGGTGATTGCGATGGATAGAGAAGAGATTCTTTGGGTGCGATCATAATACCGGTAATAATGGACAGTTCTGTAAGCACAGAACGTAGTCGTTTGTTTCCAAATGTCCAGCATTTCCGAAGTCCATGAAATCAAGGGTTACTTTATTAACCCTTTAACTGTCCAAACGTAGATCTACGTTCACCTGCGTGGCACTCCGAATATTTTGAAAAATAAAAAAATCGTTTTTTGTTTTTGAATTAAAGAGGGCAGTTTTCTGTGTGGTACAAGACCAAAAAAAAATTTAGGACCAGTATTTACCAAGATATAAGAGCACGAAGTTGTCTCTGAATGCTCACCCGATGGCAACATCCAGTCCTGCCGCTTGCAGAAGCGTTGCCAATATACCTTTTTCTTGTTTTTATTTTAATTTATATAATTTTTGTGTTCTGATAATTACAATTTATAATACTTCTTGTGATTTCATAGCCAATCTTTGTTCTGACACTAATATTATGTACTGAAATAGTACATGTGAGAGACAGTGATATAGACAGATACAAATACAGTGATATAGACAGATAGTGTTAAGTAGTCTGTAAGCCAGTAATGTTAAGTTGGCCCATAATGCCTAGGCATAATAGAGGCTCTTTTTGCATTGCAACCCACTATTGTAAATACAAAATATCGATGTACTGTTTGCAAAGACATAAAATTAAATAAATAGAGATATAGATAGATATAGAAAGATACAGACAGACAGCCAAAGCCAGCCAGCCAAATACATAAGAACATAAGAAAGAAGGAACACTGCAGCAGGCCTACTGGCCCATGCAAGGCAGGTCCATGTCACTCCCTGGCCAATGACCACCTAGTCAGGTCACATCCACTGAAAGAAGGAGCATGACATCTGACCCAGTAGCACAAGCTAGCCAGGTCCAACTCACATCCACTGATGCATTTTTTTTTTTCAACGAACCGGCTGTATCCCACCAAGGCAGGGTGGCCCAAAAAGAAAAGCAAAAGTTTCTCTTTTTAAATTTAGTAATTTATACAGGAGAAGGGGTTATTACGCCCTTGCTCCCCGCATTTTAGTCACCTCTTACAACACACATGGCTTACGGAGGAAGAATTCTGTTCCCCTCCTCAGCCCTCTGGATAATAGTTTTGGTAATCCCACACCTCATTCTAATTTCCAAACTACAAATTCTCTGCATTATATTCACACCATACATTGCCCTCAGACATGACATCTCCACTCCCTCCAGCCTTCTCCTCGCTGTAACATTCATCACCCATGCTTCACACCCATATGAGTGTTGGTATAACCATACTCTCATACATTCCCCTCTTTGTTTCCACAGACTCCTAAGTGCACCACTCACCCTTTTCCCCCCTCATCAATTGTATGATTCACCTTATCCTTCATAGACCCAATCTGCTGACATGTCCACTCCCAAATATCTAAATACATTCACCTCCTCCATACTCTCCCTCCAATCTGATATCCAATCTTTCATCACTTCTTTTTGTTATTCTCATCACCTTACTCTTCCTATACATATTCACTTTTAATTTTCTTCTTTTACATACCCTACCAAATTCATCCACCAACCTCTGCAACTTCTCTTCAGAATCTCCCAAAAGCACAGTGTCATCAGCAATGAGCAACTGTGACAACTCCCACTTTGCATTTGATTTTTTATCTTTTAACTCCACACCTCTTGCTAAGACCCTCGCATTCACTTCTCTTACAACCCTATCTATAAATATATTGAACAACCACGGTGACATCTCACATCCTTGTCTAAGGCCTACTTTTACTGAGAAATAATATCCCTCTCTCCTACATATTCTAACCTGAGCCTCGCTATCCTCATAAAAACTCTTCACTGCTTTCAGTAACCTACCTCCTATACCATACACCTGCAACATCTGCCACTTTGCCCCCTATCCGTTCTATCATATGCCTTTTCCAAATCCACAAATGCCACAAAAACCTCTTTAGCCTTATCTAAATACTGTTCACTTATGTTTCACTGTAAACACTTGGTCTACGCACCACCTGCCTTTCCTAAAGCTGCCTTGTTCATCTGCTATCCTACTCTCCGTCTTACTCTGAATTCTTTCAATAATAACTTTACCAGGTATACTCGACAGACTACTTCTTTCAACAAACCGGCCGTATCCCACCGAGGCAGGGTGGCCCAAAAAGAAAAACAAAAGTTTCTCTTTTTCAAGTTTAGTAATTTATACAGGAGAAGGGGTTACTAGCCCCTGCTCCCGGCATTTTAGTCGCCTCTTAAAACACGCATGGCTTACGGAGGAAGAATTCTGTTCCACTTTCCCATGGAGATAAGAGGAAATAAACAAGAACTAGAAAGATAATAGCAAAAAACCCAGAGGGGTGTGTGTGTATATATATGCTTGTACATGTATGTGTAGTGTGACCTAAGTGTAAGTAGAAGTAGCAAGATGTACCTGAAACCTTGTATGTTTATGAGACAGAAAAAAGGACACCAGCAATGCTACCATCATGTAACAATTACAGGCTTTCGTTTTACACTCACTTGGCAGGACGGTAGTACCTCCCAGGGCAGTTGCTGTCTACCAACCTACTACCTAGAACCCAACAGACAGTGGAACCTCAAATTTCGAACGTATCGCTTATCGAACTCTTCGAAAATAGAACCCTTTTTTCGAACCAACTTTGTCCCTGTTATCGAACTCGCCCCTATTTTCGAACCGCCGGGTACCGGACCTGTCTGGCAGCCCGCTCTGTCCGCGTCCCCACGCAGGCGCTGTGAAGCAGTCTGGTTTTGTTGATGCTTGAGTGAACACTAACCTGCGCTCTCATTCAAACATTTTACGATTACTTCATTGTGTTTAGTGCTTGTGGGACTGTGAAATAAGCCACCCTGAGCAAGCTGAAAGAAGCCATCTTTGCAACAAGTTCAGTGACAGAACCATGTCCCATTTTAGGGAAATCTTAGAGGCACCAGAAACAGAGGACTGTGGACAGATATTTTGTGAGACAGGGGTCCAGTGACTCTCAAGCTGGTCCTAGTGGCATTAAAAAACAGAGAAGGGAAGGAACCCCAGAGAGGGCTTCGATACCTGAAATCCTCATGGATGGGTATTCTCCTTCCAAACACTAACCCCAACTCCCTCTCTCCTCCTTATCTTCCAGATGCCATCACCAATCTTCAATAAAGGTAAGTAAAATGTTATTTTATGGATATTTAAATTTATTAATACATAATTGAACACTGTTTGTTGTGTGTATGTAAAACTATCTGAATATTTTTGGTTTTCTGGAACACATAGATTTTATTTCCATTATTTCTTATGGGAAATATCGCTTCGCTTTCCAGACTTATCAAATTTAGAACTAGCTCCTGGAACGGATTAAGTTCGATATTTGAGGAACTATACATGCTCTCTGCCAATCCCTAGATACCTTACCCTCTTTCATACATTTATTAAATAATAGCACCACCACTCCAAAACTATATTCCCACCTGCTTTTAACATTTCTGACCTTGTCCCATCAATCCCAGCTGCCTTACTCCCTTTCATTCTACTCGCTGCCTCACAAACTTTCCCCCCTTCCCACTCACAACTGGCTCTTCCTCCTACAAGATGTTATTCTTCCCTGCCCTATACACAAAATCACAGCTTCCCTATCTTCATCAACATTTAAGTTCCTGAAAATATTCCCTCAATCTTCTCGATTTCTCGAACTCTCCATTTAATAACTCTCCTATTTTTAACTGTCAAATCCATTTGTTTCCTGGGCTTCCTCAATTAATCTCACTCCAAAACTTTTTCTTATTTTCAACAAAATTTGTTGATAACATCTCACCCACTCTCTTGTTTGTTCTCTTTTTACATTGCTTCACCACTCTATTAACCTCTTTTTCTCTCCAGATACTCTTCTCTCCTTGCATCACTTCTACTTTGTAAAAACCTCTCATATGCTTACTTTTTCTCCCTTACTACTCTCTTAACATCATCATTCCACCAATTGCTCTTCTTCCCTCCTGCACCCACTTTCCTGTAACCACAGACTTCTGCTGAACACACTAACACTACATTCTTAAACCTGCCCCATACCTCTCCGACCCCACTGCCTATACTCTCGCTAGCCCATCTATCCTCCAATAGTTGTTTAGATCTTACCCTAACTGCCTCCTCTTTTAGTTTGTACACCTTCACCTGTTTCTTACTTGCTGTTTCTATTTTCCTTGTATCCCATCTACCTTTTGTTTATAATAATTACAGCTTCTGACAGCAGCTATTTTAATCATACTTGTATAGTGTTGCATGTAATAATGCTTTAGTAATATTTACTGCACTAACTGTGCTGTATGTATAGCTATTATTAAACACATCAAAATATACATCATGAAACGCACACTGGTAGTTTTAGAGCTAAAATTGTGTATTTTGTGACCATTAGTTCATTATGTTAAGGTTATGTTCAAGATTCAAGAAAAGATAGCAAATATAGTTGATTTGGATGTAAAACCTTTTATTCGTTGCAGGTTAACAAGACAACAGGCAATACATCATGCACCCAAGCATTAGTGCAGGCCAGCACCAGCAATAAGAAACTTTTATTCCATGCCATTGATGAGCTAACTGATGGAGGGATGGCTAGCTATTCCAATGCACTCAATTTTGCGTTCAATGCTTTCAAACAGGTACAGTTTTGAAACGTATCTCTGCTTATTTACCCACTGTGCATTCATGCACATTGGGTAAATAATGTGCATGAATGTGCAAATAATGTGCATGAATGTGCATTCATACACATTATTCAAGTGACTGGAATCTTTGTCAAGATACATATTTTGAACAGGACACAATAACCTGAACATATGAGACAGAAACCTGTGACTACTTTTCAGACTGAAACATCAATATAAGTTTCTTTCTCATATGTGTGGGTAATTTGTGCATTGTTCCAGTCACAGTATTGTGCCTGTTCATTCTTTTTGAACAAGAGATTTGTAGGAATAGATGTAGAGCAGTTGGGTTGGCCTTACTAGTCCATGAAACCATTAATATGGTGGGAGTGTACAGGGATTACCCTTTCTTTGCACTGATGGTTCTTCATTCATTTTTCAATATTACTTTTGTGACCTTAATACATTTTATCCATTTCCAATTTGCTTTGTCATTAAAATAATGATTTTTTCGGGGTATTGACAACCACTTCTGTGTCAAAGAAGCATACAGTGAGTCCTCACTTAATATCAACAGTAGGTTCTTGGAAACTGCAACTTTAAGTGAAATGATGTACAGTAGACCCTTATATTACACTGTTGTTACGTTCCTGAAAATGCCATGTTAGATAAACTAAAGAACTTAAAGGAGCCCAAAAAAAGTCGACTTTTTTTAAACCTCCAGATCTTACAAAAATAAGAGGGAATGTGTAATTGATGTTCATTATCAGGATGTATCATGTTGTTTTTACTGCTTAAGGTTACAAATGCAACAACTATGTGATAGTATTTCTTACCTTAAATTGTGGGTGCTGGTGTTTGTCAATGATTGTGAGGAGAGTGGAGAGTTATGTTGTGGTCCTACTGGACTGAGGTGGATGGTAGAGGTTCTGGTACTGAAGTTGATGATTGAACTGGAGTGTGCATAAATTCTGTAATGGATTTCTGGGCTATTTTACCTTGCAGTACATTATACAGCTGACAGTAAGGCATCAGCTGCTCCAGACACTGTTTCAGAGCCCTGCTTCTAGATTTGTCAGGGCCCTCTTTAGTGAAAAAGTCTAACTTAAGTCAGTCAGTAAGTCATGTCAGTCAGTAAGTCAGTCATTAAATCAGTTAAGTCAGTAAGTCAGTCAAGTCAGTCAGTATGTCAGTTAAGTAAGTCAATAAGTCACTCAGTAACTCCAAGACTTAAATGCTTAACCCTTTTCTTGCCACTTTCAGCAACACTTGTGTGCCTACTGGGTGCCATGATTGCTTGGCAGATACAAGATATGGCAATTAAAATATCAAGACACAATCCTCAAACACAGCTAACTTCTAGATGCGTATGAACAGAAGGCTAGGATGGGGGTGGCAGGAAATGGTGGTAAGTCTTCCCTGTGGAGACAGTGGTCTCACCCATGGCAAGATGGCGGCCTGAGCTAGGGAAACATTCCATGGGCAACACTCCAAATTTTTTGCCCTCCCGCAAACCAGACTGTGTTAAGTTAATTTTAGGAAGTGTTGTATAAAATTATGCTGCAATTTTTAACCCTTTGAGGGTTTCAGCCGTACTAGTACGGCTTACGACCCAGGGTTTTTGATGTATGTACTAGTACGCCTAAATTCTAGCTCTCTCAAATCTAGTGGGAGAAAGCTGGTAGGCATACATATGAAAGAATGGGTCTATGTGGTCAGTGTGTGCAGTATAAAAAAAATCCTGCAGCACACAGTGCATAATGAGAAAAAAAAAACTTTGACCGTGTTTTTGGAATAAAACAGCGACTTTGCACTGTATTTTCGTATGGTATTTATTGTTGTATTCTAGTTTTCTTGGTCTCATTTTATAGAATGGAAGACATATTACAGAAATTGAGATGATTTTGACTGGTTTTACAATGAAAAGTACCTTGAAATTGAGCTCAATGTAGCAGAAATGTTCGATTTTTACCAAAGTTCAAAAGTAAACAAGTCATGCCAAGTGCCCAATACACGTCAACTGGTGAGTCTAATATTCTTTCACAAGTGCGCTGATATTATTTATACCATTTCTACACTAATGCAGCAGTCTGCATAACAGTAAATCTTCGATTTTTTGTAAGAATAAAAATTGAAAGTGGAAATCCAAAGAAATATAAGAGGGGCCTGGGGATGTGACTAACGAACAGAGGAAATGTTATTTTAGTGCCAGGAATGTCTTGCTTGTTTATTCTGGACCCTATTTGGAAATTGGCATCTTTTGAAATTTGTGTGAAATTGGCAAAATTGCTAAATTCTGACCACTGTATTGGATAGTTGAAATCAATAAATGGGTTGTTTCTTGTACTCATTCAATAGAAAAAATGGAGTTCTAGTCGACTAGTACACTGGAATTGGCCGAAAATAGGGCTCAAAGTGGGCAAAATCGCCGATGCATAAACATCTTCAAGACCACTAACTTCGCAAGAGCATAATTCCGTAAGTTTTCCATCAAATTCCATACTTTTGGTGTCATTATGATTGGGAAAAGATTCTCTATCTTTTCATAAGAAAAAATAATTTTTTTTTTTTTAAATTTGGCCGACCCTGAGAACAAGTCTCTGAGAGGGCCTGTCGACCCTCAAAGGGTTGAGTAGTGTAATAACCAAAATGTGACAAATAAATCCATGTAACATAAGGGTCTACTTTATAATGAAACCAATTTTACCATAGGCTAATTGATATAAACCTCAGGGTTGTTCTGTACACCTTTAGCACTCATTATAACAGGGTTAAATTAAGGAATATATGTTTGCAAAGTTAAAATTGTAAGGAGCACCTCTTACCACCACACAATTCAATGAATGTGCAAACTCCACACAGATATTGGCCCCTGCTGGGAATCAGTTTATTTCTCATCATTATAACAAAACAACAGTGAATAAAACAAAGTGAGGAATTACTGTACTTAATTCCATCTGTTGAAATTCAACACTTGTAATCCTGTTTATAAACATGCTTAGGGTATTCATATTCTTTTTCCATTGCTAGCAGGCAGTTAATACTTATCATATGATGAATTAAAATTCATGCAAGATAGTCATGTTACTAGTTTTTGAGTGCTGTGATGGTCAATTTGGTGTTTATTCTACAGTTTGAAGGTACAAAGAAGGAGGGAGAAGGTGCCAGTTGCCACAAAACCATCATGCTTTTTAGTGATGGAGGAACAGAATGGCCACAAGAAGTCTTTAACAAGTCAGTACATAGTTGAAGTAGATTTTGTCACTCATCCTCTATCTGTATTTAAATTAATTTTTTTCCTTCTTTGTAAGGCTAAAATAGTTAATTCAGTTTATCATCCCAATTTAGCTATCATCATCAGGAATGTTATATTTAACACATGCTCCTCAATTAATTTCATGCTTTTTGCATTATTTATCTACTGACAAAAAAAGATGGAAGAATATTTTGTTAGTTTTTCTGTCTACTGTACATATTTTCATTAGAATGTTTTCATTGCATTTTTTATGAGACTAATTATATTTTTTAACCCTTAAACTGTCTAAACGTAGACCTACGTTCACTTGCATAGCGATCTGAACGTAAATCTTCATTTTATCTTTCATGCTGTCAAGTGTAAAAAAAAAAAATAGATCTACATTCGGAGCTCTACGCAAGTGAACGTAGATCTATGTTTGGACAGTTTCGGTTAACATGCAATTGAGATTTCACTGGATTTATACAGAAGTGGGATTTCAAGGCAGTTGATATTGCATCAAGATAAGGATTTATTTCTTTATAAAGGTTACAATGCGTAATTACAATTTTGGTTTGCTAAGTACAAAGAAAGCCACTGCCATGCAGGGGCATTTCGGGCAGACTAATCCTAGTACATACATAGTAACTACTAAAAACTAGACAAGATAATAGTGGTTAACTTTATTACAATCTTATTTAATCTTAATACTAATGCGAGGTAGTCAAGGCAGAGGTTTATAAAATGCAGACCAGATTTTACATTTTACTGTTTTATTAAATAAAAAAATTAAAATCATCAAAGAAAACAAGATTTTTAATGGCCATTGTATATTTATATGGCTACAGATTCCAGGCAGATAACTATACCAAGTCAGTACGAATCTTCACATACGCTGTCGGACCTCACCCAATCCCCACTGCAGTTTTAAAACAGATGGCTTGCTCTACCGGAGGGAAATATTCAGTTATTACTACAAGAAGTAGCGTGAGAACTAAAATACAGGTAGGCATTTGTATAGATATATGTATGTACTCTACTGTATTTCAGAATACAATATTTTCTTCTATTAAATTATTTTCATATAAATCTCTAGATACATATTTAGGGTATATATGTCCATTAATCTTTTTCTTTCTGTTGTATTTTCCCCCCTCTCTCTTTCTCTGTTTTATTTATAGGTATGCCAGAGTTAGTGTACACAAGGAATTTTTTCCACTTAAGTATATACAGAATTGACTTAAATAATGATGCTGATCTTTTGTCTTCTATTTACAAAATGAGAGCAGATCTTACTTGGCCAGCACCCAACCTACTTAAGTTATTTTTCTGTAGCATACTAATATCTTTCAAAGTGATCCCTAAGATCACTTTTCATATGAATATATTGGCTACTTTGTATTTACTGATTTAGAGTATTTTGTCAATTTCAGCATTAAAATTGAAAAAACTGAACTGTTAACAAATACCATCAAAACATACATAATAATTCTACAACTTATAAATTTTTGACCTTTTATATACTTTTTGTCTCAAGGAACATTTTGAATAAGGAAAATTTGAGAATGAAAATGTACTTTTAACATTAAACATTTTAAAAATGTTTTCTGTAGATTTCATGATGTGTTTATGGATTTCATGTTCTAGTAAAGATGACAAACATACTCTAGAGTATTTCTATATGTTTGTATGTGATATTCCACATAGTAATGTCAACTGGAATGTCTTTCATAAAAAATGCCATTTAAAACACTACTTATGCACATAAAAATAATTAAGCAAAATACACATTTAGTTGTAGCTACAGTTAGAGTAAGAGGTAGATGAGACAAAAGGAAAATGGCAACAAGAAGTAAGAGAGAGGTGAAAGTGTATAAACTAAGGGAGGAGGAAGTTAGGGTGAAATATAATCATCTATTGGCAGAAAGGTGGACTAGTGCAAGTATGAGTAGTGGGGGGGTTGAAGAGGGTTGGAATAGTTTTAAAAATGCAGTATTAAAATGTGGGGCAGAAGTATGTGGCTATAGGAGCATGGGTGCAGGAGGAAAGAGGAGTGATGAAGTAAAGGGTGTGATAAGAGAAAAAGGTAGCTTATGAGAGGTTCTTACAAAGCAGAAGTGTTATAAGAAGAGCAGAGTATATGGAGAGTAAAAGAAAGGTGAAGAGAGCGGTGAGAGAGTGCAAAAGGATAGCAAATGATAAGAGTGGGAGAGGCACTGTCAAGAAATTTTGATGAAAATAAGAAAAAATTTTGGAATGAGATAAACAAGTTAAGAAAGTCTAGGGAACGAATGGATTTGTGAATTAAAAACAGAGTAGGGGGCAAAGAAGAGAATGTATGAAAGTATAGTGGTACCAACACTCTTATAAGGGTGTGAAGCTTGGGTTGTAAATGCTGCAGCGAGGAGGCAGTTGGAGGCTTGGAGATATCCTGTCTAAGGGCAATGTGCGGTGTAAATATTATGCAGAGAATTCAAAGTGTGGAAATTAAGAGAAGGTGTGGAGTTAATAAAAGTATTAGTCAGAGGGCTGAAGAGGGGTTGTTGAGGTGGTCTGGTCAATTAGAGAATGGATCAAAGTAGAATGACATGGAGAGCATATAAATCTGTAGGGAAAGGAAGGCAGGGTAGGGGTCATCCTCGAAAAGATTGGAGGGAGGGGGTAAAGGAGGTTTTGTGGGCATGCATGAGCGTGATAGATAGGAGTGAATGGAGACGAATGGTTTTTGGGACCTGACGATCTGTTGGAGTGTGAGCAGGGTAATATTTAGTGAAGGGATTCAGGGAAACTGGTTATTTTTATATAGCCGGACTTGAGTTCTGGAAATGGGAAGTACAATGCCTGCACTTTAAAGGAGGGGTTTGGGATATTGGTAGTTTGGAGGGATATGTTGTGTATCTTTATACGTATATGCTTCTAAACTGTTGTATCTGGGCATCTCTGCAAAAACAGTGATTGTGTGAGCGAGGTGAAAGTACTGAATGATGATGAAAGTATTTTTGTTTTGGGGATTTTCTTTCTTTTTGGGTCACCCTGCCTAGGTGGGAGACAGCCAACTTGTTGAAAAAAAAAAAAAGCTTCTTTATGCACAAATAGTGTTAAAGGCATTTCTTTTTTTGTCAGTTTAAATCTCAAGTTCATCCTTACTGTCCGCTACACTTTGTATGAGCTGTTGTTAACATGAATGAATTGCCATGAGAATATCTTTATTTACACATACAGGTATGATTATGTCTCCCAAATGTATTATAGGTCACAGCTACTTTTTTTGCTGTTTTCAGGATCTATAATTCTGCCTATGTGAAGGTGTTATTATGCCATCCTTTATACAAAATCAGTGAACCTTCAAGGCCAGTTTACTCCTGTCACTACAATCTCCATTGTTTCTTTTAGATATGTATGTATTTCTATATTGCATGTAGGGAGACAGGATGATACTGTATGTCTTTCAAAAGCTTTCATAGATGAAGAGTGTTACAAAAATTATTGGAGCTGAGAGCCATCAGGATAGTTTCTTAAAACAATAAGTACATGTAGATTCAAAATCTAGTTTAGCTGAATGAAATTTTCACATCATTTATTACAGAGAAATTAAGATGCCTACAGCAGAAAATTTTTACCTCTTGGGAAGACTCAGACTTTGTAGACAAGAGGAAATTCTGCTAATTAAAAATTTAACAAAAATTTTTAGTTAAATTCCAAAGGTACAGTGGTACCTTGACTTACGAGTTTAATCCATTCCCTGACCTAGCTCATAACTCAATTTGCTCTCATATCAAATTAATTTTCCTCATTGAAATGCCATTAAGCCATCCCAGCAGAATTCCTGCTTTCGGGAGGCAGGAGAAAATACTTCAGTATGATGCTAATATCAACTCTATGGCTTATTTATCTATCACAATTGATCTGATATGACATAAACAATATAAATAACATAGAAACATGATATACGTATACTCTAGCATGAATATAATGTCATTATGTGACGAGTGGTGGCGGCCACTCCTGCTCCCACTCTGACCATATCCTCCCATTCTTCCCCTTCTGAAAACAGAGTGTTTGTGAGGCTAACTGGACTAGATCACTAGCTTCATAAGGAAAACACTGAAGCAATATATTTATAAATAAGAAATATTGTATAAAAACATAAAACATAATAGAGAATGTAAAGAAATAAACTGGTTTTATAAAGTGTACGTATTTACCTTGGAGAACAGATGCTGGCGGAGGTGAAGGGTGGAGTTGGAGGATGGAGGTGGATGGTGGAAAAGATAGGCTACTTGCTACACTCTTAAAGCTACACTTTATCGCTGAACTTAAATTATTGTAACGCTCTTGGCTTGTGCTATAGCTTTTATTGACTCCTTCTGCTTTAGTATCATACATATCGTAGAAGTACTACGCTGGTACTGCCTGACCGAGTTCACAACCCGCACACCTTGTTCATGTTTATCTATGATTTCATTCTTTAATTCATTGGACATCATCCTCTTTTTCTTCTTAGCACTGTCCTTTGCACTTACTTTCTTAGGAACCATGGTTAGAAAAGAAGAAATCTGGCAAAATAACTGTACAAAACGTAAGCACAGCACAAGAGAAATGCTTCCACAGCGATCTAAACATATGCACTGCTGAGCAGATGTTGTGGCGTTGACTGTGCCAACTAGTGGCAGCATTCTGAAGCTCTCTCGTAACCCAGATTTTGGCTCATAACTCAGAGCAAAAAATTGACCGAGTGATGGCTCGTAAGTCAAAAAACTTGTATGTTGGAGCACTCGTAAGTTGAGGTTCCACTGTACTTTTATTTTCTGTCATTGATTGAGCATTTTGTTTGCTAAATGTAACAGTAATAATTATGATTATTTTTATACTTTATTACAGGTTCTTTATCCAGTTTGTATTATATAGTGCACCAGCATCACAAAAATGCTAGTGGGATTGTTAATAAAAATATAATGTACTTTAGTCAGTCTCTGTTATATATGTATCTATTAATTATTTTCTTTTGTACACATGAGTAGGTGAGTAAGGTTGCACAAGTAGTAATAATATGTGTACTTGGCTCCAAAGTATGTACATGTATAGTGTGCATGGGTGTTTTGATTCAGGGACATAATGAAGAAAAAGAAATTATTAAATTACTACTATTGTATTACACTCGTATATTACTACTACTACTACTACTATTCCTCCTGGTGGTATACCTACTAAAGTTGACCATCAGGTATTCAGAGATTGGTTATTCAGTGTCCAATGTTATCTGGTAGTCATGTTTGATCCAGTACTAAACAGATATTACTAAGAATGTGCAAAAGAAACAGTGACCATAAAAGAAATTGTGATTATTCAGTCATATTTAAAATCTGGTGCACCCTTTCCTCCCTGAAGTTGCTGGATAATGTGTATTGTGCTGCACTGTTATAACTACTAATATAAGGTAAGATTAAGCTTTATTCAGGAAATCTTCAAATATTTCACAATATAAATTTGCACATTAGATTTGAGGGAACAGATTTTTTTTAGGCATACAGCATTATTACATTACAGTAAACCCTTGATAAAATGGACCTCTATAAAGCAGATATTGGCTAAAAATAGACAAAAATCTGGTTGGACAAGTGGTTATTGTCTGTTTCATGGGGTGTCCAATTAACATAACAATAAAGTTAACCAAATCTGATACATCGCACGGATGTCCGGTCTGGTCATACCTTCAGTAAAATGCACCAACTCTGCTTAATCACAAGGTTATCCTGTTCGGGTTTCATTGTGGTCATGTCTAATTTCATTGTTCCTGGTGAGCAAGGCTAGTGACTTGGCCTTTGTCAGTTTGTTGCCTTCATGCATTCCTACATCCCATCATTATTTCATCTCCAATTTTCACAGGATTTACAGGTTGTTTTTTTTTTCCATTACAGTACTTTATGAAAGTACCATGTACATTGATAGTAACACTGGTCTCTAAAGCAAGTGATAATGCTAAGAAGTGTGTGACCTTGACTGTTAAGTAGAAACTTAAATAAAATTAATCTATCCTCCAGAAAAGGTAAGAAAAATTGCTATACTGTAATGTACATATATTGTACTGTACTTTTATTTCCTTTTCAGATATGGGTGTAGCTGTGCTTTACAGTACTGAATTATAATATTGTACTCTCTTTTATTCTTAGTATGTCCAGTAGTCCATCAATACAGCGGACTAAGTCCGCTTCATTGGGTGTTTTTTCCATGTCCAGTAGTCAATCTATTAAGTGGACATAGTCCACTTAATCTAAACTTTCAATACAATGGATTTTTGTTAAAACAGATACCCCTTCCCCATTAGTCCATTTTATGGAGGCTTCACTGTATGTAGATTTAGCTCATTATTACTGCTACTATGACAGCTACTGTGGGGTAAGATAGAAAGTAAAATTGTAGAGGAGCAAGGATGTTTTAAGATGGGTAGGGGATGTGAAGACCCAATGTTGTAGTGAGGTATATAAGTGAATAATACTTAAGAATAAGGATGTATTTGTTACATTTATGGATTTAAAAAAAAAATAAAGCATATGCTAGTATGGATAAGGGTGCAATGTGGGAGGCATTACTAATGTACAGAATAAGTGGTAGACTATTAAAAGCTGTAAAAGAACTTATGAGAAGAGTGAAGCTTAAGTTAGGGGATGTATGAGAGAAGAGAACTATTTTTTAGTAAAAGTAGACCTTAAACATGGTTATGAAATATATTTATAAATGGAATTAAGAGAAGTGAATTTAAGAATATTGGGAAGAAGTGTGAGCTAAAATGTTAATGAATTTGATATAAACAGGAAGTTGTTGTATTACTTTTGTGAGATTCTGAAGAGAAGTTGCAATGGAGGAGGCTGGGAGGGCATGTAAAAGGAGAAAATTAAAACTGAATATTGGAAAGAGCCAGGTGATGAGAATAAGGAAAAATCGTAGGCACTGAAAGATTGGACATCACATTAGAAGGAGAGAGTATGAAGTGAATGTATGTAGATATTTGGGAGTGGTTTTGTCAGCAAATAAGTATGAAAGATGAGGTGAATCATAGAATAGTCATGGGAGGAAAAGGTAGGTAGAGTACTGAAGCATCTGTGGAAAGAAAAGTTTATTGCTGGAGGCAAAAAAAAAAAAAAAGTAATGTACCATAGTATAGTGGTACTAAACATTTTATGTGGGTGTGAAGCATGGTCTTTAAATGCTGCAGTGTGGAGGAGGCTGGAAACAGTGGAAATATTATTTTAGAGATTAATATGTGATGTGATTATAATTCAGAAGATAGGAAGCAGGGGAATTAAAGACTATGTGTGGATGAAAGTTATAATTCAGAGGACAGAAGTGGGGTTGTTTAGAAAATTTGGTCATTTAGAAAAGATGGCACAGAATAGGTTGATTAAGAAGGTATATAAATCTGGGGTGGGCACAGAATAGGTTGATTAAGAAGGTATATAAATCTGGGGTGGACAAATGGAGAAGTAGGGGTAATCGCATTAAGTGTTGGAGATGGAGTGAAGGTGGTTTTAAGTGGTAGGTGCTTGAGTATCCAGGAAGCACGTGTGCCTATGGTAGGTTGGAGATAAGTGGTTTTTGGGATTTGACATGCAGGATATGTCAACAGAGTAGCTCCAATGAAGGGATTATGGGAAAACTGGTTTGCCAGAATCAAGTCTTGGAGGTGGGAGGGGTAGTGCTTGTGCTCTAAAAAAGAGGTGAAGATGTTACATTTAGGGGGTCATCTGAATTATAATGTCAGCACACTTCTGAAAATACAGCAATTGAGTGAATGATAGTGAATTTTTCCTTTTTTTTGGGGGGGATGTCAGTTTGTTGATTGGAGATGGTCAATGAGGTGAAAAAACATACATGTAAATGTATTCAGTAGCCTTTTACTCTTAAATTAGCAGTCATCTAGCCTGTTTAAGGAAAGATTCCTAGTGTTGCCCATGTGTCTTGCTCTTCAAACAATTTGGTAGTCATTGTTATATTGTGTGTTTATTATTGAGGTATTGCTCTTAGACTTTTGAATACTCAGTGTTCTGTAGTTGTGGCATTTTTCTTGCTTCCTTCATTAATCATTAATATATTTGATACCTACTTTGGGTTATTTTTATTTACACATGTGTATATTTCTATATCCTTCACTGTGCCTTTGTAATATTATGTAATTAGTTATATTATATATAAATTACCAGTGTTTAATAAGATATCATTTCAGGAATCGTACACAAGCTTACTCTACCCTGCTCAGCCCCTGAATGGAAATCACATTGACCAATACACAACTGCGTACACAAGTGCTGTGGTAATTGAGACAGAATCCTGTACTGCTGTCCACCCCAAACACCTGATAAATATTTGGTCTTGTTTCCACTCTATCCAGGTGTTGTTGTTGTGTCTGGCAACTGAAGATTTCCTTACTTAAATGAAATGCAATGCAATGCAGTAGAGCAGTTTTTTTATTGATTGCTTGTAAGATATATCATGATTAATTACTGAAAACTGGTTTATTACCTTTAACAGTTTTAATTAAAATTCCATGAATGCTTTTTCATTTGTTTATAATGTAAATAATCTTTCAGTTGTTAGATTCAAAAATTTCTACTGAATTCTCAGCTGTGTAGTTTTTGGACTCACAGTTTCCACCTACTCTCTGCAGATCTTTGTTATACTAGAATATAAGACAATATAACATTAAAATCACAATTAATGAGCAGTTCAGAACCAGATGCCTGCAGAGAGCTGGTTTGTTGATGTGGTGTGGTGACTTTTTCGCTATTAATAAAGTGTATATTTTTCTTCTTTAGAGCAAACATTGGTGGAGGACCCTCTTTCATCCATCAAAATTGTAATGTTCTTCAAACACCCATGAGTTGACAGATTCTCAAAGTAACTCAAAGTAACTGCTCATCTTCTTTGCTAAGCAACGCTGTCATACTTCGGTAGTGCAACCTCTTTGAGATGTTTCACCCTTTTTTTGTCGTAATGTTGTTGATTTTTAGACTCTCACTCCTCTTTGTTTTACTAATCTTAATTGTATTTGTGTAGAATTTTGTATACTGTAATATCAGATGACATTTGGGGTTAAAATCAAGTACCATGATTGCATGCATATACAGTAGCTTATTTTTATAGATCCCTAACTATACCATAATTATTACTTTCCTTTTTATGTTGTGAATTCATAGAAATCTTTGATATCTGCCAACTCAGTTAATCATATTTTTTTCATAAGTAAGTTTTAATTCTATAGCATTTACCTTCTCTTGATAGTGAACCTATATTTTATCTTTTAAAATTCTATAGTGAATGTTTGTTTTTAGCTTTAATATAATGTGGTGATTTGTCATTTGTACTGATTTTCGAGTTTATTTTTAAGGACTGATTTTTTTTTTTTTTTTTTTTGCTCTGTTTGTTTAATTCCTTTAAGTTTTCAGTTCATATGTTTGGCTTACTTTCTTCAAACAGATGACTTCACTGCCTAACTTCTGCTTTCACCTTGGAAGGTATTGGATATTTTGAGTTGTCCACACTATAGCCAGTTAGTGTAAGGCTGCCAGATCTGTTGTAGTTATTTTTATTCCAGTATCTGAATAGTTCCACTTTTTACACATTTAGTCACTTTATAACTGGCATAAAAGAAGATGAAAAGTTTTGCTCTGTCAGTTATTTAATTGCCATACTTTGGTAAAATGAACACACTGATATGTAGATATACTTATTTGCTAATGGAGTAATACGTTTGTGAGTTTAAAAATGATTGCTTGTTAGTAGTCTGTCTTGTACGTGATATTTTACCAATTGCCTATGATCATCATTGTGGGTCATTCTGAATGTTTTTAAAATCTCTCAATGCCAGAAATCTGGATGTCTTATTTAAACCGCATCATCACACACATCTATCAGTATTGTAATGTCAAAGCTGCCAATATTAGCCTGGTATCAACTTTAGTAATAACTTTGGTAGAGCTTTAGTAGAGTGGTTATTGCACTGTAGTCATATATTCAAATCAACTTAGAGAGCAGTGTTAGTGTGTCACTCAGTTTAAACTTGTTTTTGTAAAAGAACTGTCATAATTGGCTTGTAAAAACCCAATCAGTTCACTCAGTCTTTGTTAGGAACTCTAGGCCCAAGGATGGGTGGGTTCTAAATACTTTCTGGTCTCTATACTTTGTAACTTTCCTCCTGTTGGAGGGCCTAGTCCATAAGAAAATTTTAATATTTGCTACAATACGAGTTCATGTGCACCAGAGCATTTTGGACATTATGCAAAATTCATGAATGATCTAGTGATTCAAATATAGCACAGAAAATACTAGTCCTAACAGTTACAGTTTCAGTCATTTGCAGTCTTTATGGATTATTCACATTTGGAGCAGCTTCCTTGAAGTATGCAGATCATGGATGGAGACAGGTTCAGGTTGGATTCTAAGTCACTAGCTTGCAGCTGAGAGTAAAGCGCAGTGGTTGCAAACTCAGTGTGGGGCAATGTTAGCTACGATAGCAAGAGTGACCTATATCTTCCACATTGACCTTTGATGCTATGTGGCTTTTGAAACCTTTTTGAGGAAGGGAAAACATGTATAGTAATCCTCAGACATGTGAATGCATACTGGTATATGTATAGGGGTCCTCGGACATTGTTGAGGAGGTGAATACAAAAAGTATGGGGATGCATTCACCTCCTCAACAGGCACGTGAATATATGCAAATTAGGTCCTCAGATACATTTTTGAGGAGGTGGATACATGTATAGTAATCCTTGAACATTTCAAAATTCTTAATGTTGTTTCAAAAATACGATAGGATGTATGTGAAGTACAGCAGATGACATTTGTGAGAAATTGGAAAATAAGAAAGACTAATACATAGAAAAATTGTATTTTAAAATAACACATTCTATACCTCTAGAATCACTTATTCTTTTGTGAGATAAACCACAGAAACCAGGAATCATTGCAGTTAAATGTGTGGGATTGTTATTAATTTTGCTGAGAAGTTGTCAATCTATATGAATGGTCAGTGCTTGAGGAATGAAAATTAATCAGGTATTATCCAAGGAAAGGGAGGGTAGCCCCAATTCCTTCGAGAATTAACCCTTTCGGGGTTTCGGCCATACTAGTACGACTTACGCGCCAGGGTTTTTGACGTACTAGTACGCATAAATTCTAGCGCCCTCAAATCTAGCAAGAGAAAGCTGGTAGGCCTACATATGAAAGAATGGGTCTATGTGGTCAGTGTGTGCAGTATAAAAAAAATCCTGCAGCACACAGTGCGTAATGAGAAAAAAAAAATGACCGTGTTTTTGGTTTAAAACAGCGACTTTACGCTGTATTTTCGTATGGTATTTATGGTTGTATTCTAGTTTTCCTGGTCTTAAATTTTTTTTAAATGGAAGACATATTACAGAAATTGAGATGATTTTGATTAGTTTCACAATGAAAAGTACCTTGAAATTGAGCTCAAAATAGCAGAAATGTTCGATTTTTCCCGAAGTTCAAAAGTAAACAAATCATGCCACGCGTCCAATACACTTCAACTGGTGAATCTAATATTCTTTCACAAAAGCCTGGTTTTTTATACCATTTCTACAATAATACAGTAGTTGCATAAAAGTAAAACTTCTATTTTTTGTGAGAATAAAAATTCAAAGGGAAAGCAAAAGAAAGAAAAAGGGGGTTGGGGTGTTTGACTTTTAGCAACTACTGAATTATGTAAAAATGGTATAAATAATCCACGCTCTGTGAAAAAATTTTTAGATTCCCCATTTGAAGTGTATTGGACGCGTGGCTGATTTGTTTACTTTTGAACTTCGGGAAAAATCGAACATTTCTGCTATTTTGAGCTCAATTTCAAGGTACTTTTCATTGTGAAACTAATCAAAATCATCTCAATTTCTGTAATATGTCTTCCATTCTATAAAATAAGACCAGGAAAACTAGAATACAACCATAAATACCATACGAAAATACAGCGTAAAGTCGCTGTTTTAAACCAAAAACACGGTCATTTTTTTTTCCATTACGCACTGTGTGCTGCAGGATTTTTTTATACTGCACACAACTGACCACATAGACCCAATTCTTTCATATGTAGGCCTACCAGCTTTCTCTTGCTAGATTTGAGGCGCTAGAATTTATGCGTACTAGTACGTCAAAAACCCTGGCGCGTAAGTCGTACTAGTATGGCCGAAACCCCGAAAGGGTTAATTCTCGAAGGAATTGGGGCTACCCTCCCTTTCCTTGGATAATACCTGATTAATTTTCATTCCTCAAGCACTGACCATTCATATAGATTGACAACTTCTCAGCAAAATTAATAACAATCCCACACATTTAACTGGCAATGATTCCTGGTTTCTGGGGTTTATCTCACAAAAGAATAAGTGATTCTAGAGGTATAGAATGTGTTATTTTAAAATACAATTTTTCTATGTATTAGTCTTTCTTATTTTCCAATTTCTCACAAATGTCATCTGCTGTACTTCACATACATCCTATCGTATTTTTGAAACAACATTAAGAATTTTGAAATGTTCAAGGATTACTATACATGTATCCACCTCCTCAAAAATGTATCTGAGGACCTAATTTGCATATATTCACGTGCCTGTTGAGGAGGTGAATGCATGCCATACATGTATTCACCTCCTCAACAATGTCCGAGGACCCCTATACATATACCAGTATGCATTCACATGTCTGAGGATTACTATACATGTTTTCCCTTCCTCAAAAAGGTTTCAAAAGCCACATAGCATCAAAGGTCAATGTGGAAGATATAGGTCACTCTTGCTATCGTAGCTAACATTGCCCCACACTGAGTTTGCAACCACTGCGCTTTACTCTCAGCTGCAAGCTAGTGACTTAGAATCCAACCTGAACCTGTCTCCATCCATGATCTGCATACTTCAAGGAAGCTGCTCCAAATGTGAATAATCCATAAAGACTGCAAATGACTGAAACTGTAACTGTTAGGACTAGTATTTTCTGTGCTATATTTGAATCACTAGATCATTCATGAATTTTGCATAATGTCCAAAATGCTCTGGTGCACATGAACTCGTATGGTGTAGCAAATATTATATTTTCTTATGGACTAGGCCCTCCAACAGGAGGAAAGTTACAAAGTATAGAGACCAGAAAGTATTTAGAACCCACCCATCCTTGGGCCTAGAGTTCCTAACAAAGACTGAGTGAACTGATTGGGTTTTTACAAGCCAATTATGACAGTTCTTTTACAAAAACAAGTTTAAACTGAGTGACACACTAACACTGCTCTCTAAGTTGATTTGAATATATGACTACAGTGCAATAACCACTCTACTAAAGCTCTACCAAAGTTATTACTAAAGTTGATACCAGGCTAATATTGGCAGCTTTGACATTACAATACTGATAGATGTGTGTGATGATGCGGTTTAAATAAGACATCCAGATTTCTGGCATTGAGAGATTTTAAAAACATTCAGAATGACCCACAATGATGATCATAGGCAATTGGTAAAATATCACGTACAAGACAGACTACTAACAAGCAATCATTTTTAAACTCACAAACGTATTACTCCATTAGCAAATAAGTATATCTACATATCAGTGTGTTCATTTTACCAAAGTATGGCAATTAAATAACTGACAGAGCAAAACTTTTCATCTTCTTTTATGCCAGTTATAAAGTGACTAAATGTGTAAAAAGTGGAACTATTCAGATACTGGAATAAAAATAACTACAACAGATCTGGCAGCCTTACACTAACTGGCTATAGTGTGGACAACTCAAAATATCCAATACCTTCCAAGGTGAAAGCAGAAGTTAGGCAGTGAAGTCATCTGTTTGAAGAAAGTAAGCCAAACATATGAACTGAAAACTTAAAGGAATTAAACAAACAGAGCAAAAAAAAAAAAAAAAAAAAATCAGTCCTTAAAAATAAACTCGAAAATCAGTACAAATGACAAATCACCACATTATATTAAAGCTAAAAACAAACATTCACTATAGAATTTTAAAAGATAAAATAAAAGGTTTACTATCAAGAGAAGGAAATGCTAATAGAATTAAAACTTTCTTTTGAAAAAAATATGATTAACTGAGTTGGCAGATATCAAAGATTTCTATGAATTCACAACTAAAAAGGAAAGTATAAATTTTGGTATAGTTAGGGGTCATAAAAATAAGCTACTGTATATGCATGCAATCATGGTTTCTTGATTTTAACCCCCAAATGTCATCTGATATTACAGTATACAAAATCTCACAAATACAATTAAGATTAGTAAAACAAAGAGGAGTGAGAGTCTAAAAATCAACAACATTACGACAAAAAAAGGGTGAAACATCTCAAAGAGGTTGCACTACCGAAGTATGACAGGTTGCTTAGCAAAGAAGATGAGCAGTTACTTTGATTTACTTTGGAATCTGTAAATCAGGGGTGTTAAGAACATTCCCCTTTTGATGGAAAAAGAGGGCCTCCACCAATGTTTGCTCTAAAGAAAAAAATATACTTTATTAATAGCGAAAAAGTCACCACACCACATCAAAAACCAGCCTCTGCGGCATCGGTTTGAACTGCTCTTAATTGGTTTTTAATGTTAATTGCCCTTATATTCAGATAAAAAGATCTGCAGAGAGTGGGGGGAAACTGTGACCCAAAAAACTACACAGTGAAATTCAGTAAAAATTTTTTGAATCTCAAGAAAGTTTATTTACATTATAAAAATGAAAAGCTTCAGGAAATTTTTAATTTAAAAACTTTTAAAGGTAAAAAACCCCTTTTCAGTAATTAATAGAAATACTTACAAGCAATCAAAAAAAAAAACTGCTCACTGCATTGCTTGCATTTCTTTTAAGTAAGGAAATCTATTGCCAGACAAAACAACAACCCCTGGATAGAGGGAAAAAAGCCCAAAATATTTATGGGTTTTTGGGGGTGGACAGCATACAGGATTCTGCTAAATTACCAACACTTGTGTACGGTTGTGATTGGTCAATGTGTTTTTCCCATTCAGGGGCTAAAGGGGGTAGAGAAAGCTTGGTACGATCCTGAAATGATATCTTTTTTAAAAACCGGGAAATTTTATAAAAAAATAAACAAATTTACAAAATTTACAAAGGCCAGTAAAGGGATAAGAAATATACACATGTGTAAATAAAA